AATTATCTAACCTTAATAATAGAAAAAAAGAAAGCATACTACAGAAAAACAGTCAAAACTTTGGAGTTTTGTGAGGTAATATCAGATGGTCTCAGAATATCAGAAAAAGAATAAGGACAGGAAGGACATTTTATTTAAAGAAATAATTACTGGACATATCAGAAATTTGGTGGAAAAAAATTGATTCACAATTTTAAGAAATTCAGTTAATCTGATGCAGCCTCCATAAAGAAAAAACTATAACAAGACAATTAGAGTCACACTGCTCACAATTAATGATAAAGAAAACAATGAAAGTGACCTGAGATGGAAAGAGATTATTCACAGAAGAGCAAGAATAAGAAATATCACTGATTTCTTACAAGAAATGATAAAGATCAAAAGACAATGGGATAGCGTGGTTTAAAACACTGATAGAAAAAAACCACAATCTTCTGTCTATATCTATTGAATGTCCTTCAAAAATGAGAAGAAAATAAAGAAATTTTCAGATAAAAACTGAAAAACTGAGAAAATTCATTATTAGCAATCTACAATAAATGCTAAAGAAAATTATTTTGTCTAAAAGGATCCAGAAGGAAATTTAGCTCTAAGAGGACCCAAAGATTCAAATAGGCTGGTAAGTAATTTTAAATTATACTTTTTAAAATTTATTATAATTTGCTTAAAAGAAATCTGAATGTTTGTAACTAGAATAAAACCTAAGTTAGGGCTTATAATATAGGTATAAGTAAAAGATAAGACAAAGATTTCATGTAATATAGAGTGGAATAGAATCGTGCTATTGTGTGGCTATTACATTTTTGCACTATAAAGTATGAGAGTGAAGTTAGAAGTGTCTTATGTCTAATGGAAAGAAAAAAGTGGAAAGTAAAAAATGTGAAACTATCAGATGTTAAGGATAAAATGTGACATAAAGAAGGAAAGTGCATTGACTCTATAATAGTCAATAGTAAGCATGCACACTATTTTAGCAACACTAAAAATATTCAAAAAAGTATAGCTAAGAAACCAATAAAGGAAATAAGAGTTGTAAAAACAAGATGGTAAAAAAGGAGCCAGAGAATAATAAATAGAAAATGAGGAAAGATGGTCAACAAATCCAACTTCATCAATAATTACACTAAAAGTAAATGAACTAAACACCTGTAATTATAAGAAAGAGATTTTCAGACTGGATTTAAAAAGACTGACCCAATCATGTATTCTTTATGAGAAATCTATTTTAAATATAAAGATGAGTCAGTTAAAAGAAAAAGGAAGACTATAGATCATGTTAATAATAAGCACAAGGAAACTGATGTGACTATATTAGAATCTAAGTCCATTTCAAGGCAAAGAACACTAGAAGAGATAAAGGGGGACATTGCATAAAAGCATGCTCCTTTCTCCATCTAGAAGACGACAAGCCAACAAACCAACCAAAAACACCTTAACTATGTGGCGCCTAGTAAGAGGTAAGACAAATCAAAATTCATGAGTAGAACCCTGCAGAAGCAAAGGGGGAAATAGACAAATCAGAGACCACATGCCACTGAATTCCTGCTATTCAGAGAAAAGCAAGCATTGGACTCACCAATTTCCTTTACCTACTTTTTATTTTGAAGGGACCACTTTTCTTACATTCTCTAAACCCAGGTTTCCTTTACTTCATTCTGATAAACTGTTTTCTCAGGAACCGTCTTCAGATGTGACTGTGCCACCAGGAGTGAAGAGGAGCTGATTCCTGGGCTCGGACCACAGGTTTCTTGGTAAAACACAAAAGATAAGACCTTGCCTTTGCCATGTCACTTGAAGGAGCTGTGGTTTTGGCAGATTCTCGGAGGTTAAAATCTAAACTTGCCTATCCGTAATGTGGTTTCTGATCAGTTTTCCTCTCGGTTTTGCTGGTTTCCATCTGGGTGTCCAAAGAAGTATCAGGGAGACATGTGGTGGTACCTGCAGCACCTCGGGTGATTCCCTGAGCGGAACCAGAGAGCATTCGTAAGCCGCTCCAAGTAGCCACTCTTCTCAGACCCACGGTCCCCAGCCACCCCCCACAGTTGGTGGCCAGTGTCTTGCACAAGGCTCTGTTCTCCAAAATGTGAAGCATTAAAGGTAAAATATGGTCTCCATCTTGCCAAACTCATTTCAGTTCTTATTTTTCTCTGTTTCTCATGTCACTTGTAACTAAGGAGCAGACCCAGGAATGTGGGCAACCTTATTTATTACCTAAGCCTGAGCTGTTTAAAGGGCCTGAACAATACCAGTGACCCTGATGTCATCACCAGTCTCATGGCTAACTTCCCAGCATGAGGGGCCGTCCTCTCTCCTCACACCATCTTCCCACTCTGGCTGCGTGTACATCACTTTATATCTATTTTTAAAATTCCCACCAAAAGTTCTGGGTTAAAAAAAAAAAGTTCTGTGTTATATTTGTAAATAGAGACATCTAAAGAACTTCAAGAATAATTCTTCAGTATTTTCCCATCAGCATTTATACTCTTTTTGGTTAGTTTATGTTATTATTTTATTGCATCAATTTTATCAGACTTTGTCATAAAATCCCCTTGGCTGCCTGCATTTAAAGGTGCAAAGCAAATATAATAAAAGCTGACTTCCTAAGGCACTTGAAAGGAGAAACATTTTTGAATCATGCTATGAGGAGACACATAGAAAAAGGCTCTTATTAAATCCACTTTCAGCTGAAAATTTCTAAGCATTATATTAATGACCTTGAAGATTGTCCGGCAGCAATATCTTGGGCATGAATTTCTTCAAAGGTTGAAATATAGGTTAGAACCCTCCGGAGGCTCCTGTGATATCAAATAAAAAGCTTAATCAATTTGTAGAAGCAAAAAGGTGGACATGCTTTAGAGCACCAGAAATTGATACTCTGAAATCCACAATTATTGGAACTGAAAGTAACTAACTTGCAGTCTGATAAAATTTCTTTCTACTGGTATCTCTCCTGCCCAAGCAGACATGAAAGGAAAAGCAAATTTCAGTGGATCTGAAATCACTGGACTCTGTAAATGTGCCAGAATGTCCAGGCTATGAAAACGTCATCTTCTCCGGCTAAAAGTGAAGTCCTTTATCCTGATGAATACCTGGGTATGGAAGCTCTTTCTGTTATCGCACACTATTTGATATCACACTTAACCATGAGTAGAGTTTGTCTGGTGTTGGGCCCACAGCCTGAAGTCAATCAACACAAAACATCTTCCCATGAGTGTCTGTAGGAGATGCAAGGTGTGTGGACCTGGTGGGTTAACTGGAGACTTCCTGGATGAAAGCCATCCTGCCTACGTCTCCACATTCCTCATTGTCAGTGAGCTGAGAGGGACTGGCAGCATGGGCCCACCAAGGCCTCTCCCTCTTCTAGCTACCAGCTGAGCAACCAACACACCTGCTGAATTTTTCTCTGTGGAGCTCAACAATAGCGCTATAAGAATGATGCAGAAAAGTGTTCCTAATGAACAGGAGAGAGGCAGATACCCATGGGCTCCTGATGATCCTGGGAGTTTGGAAAATCCCTTGAGAATCACCCACCCTGTTTGGTGATGACAAGCTCAGTTTTGTCCCTCCCAGGCAAAGCGCGGCAGTGAAGCCCTGGATTTGAGCTGATTTCAAACACTGAACTGAAGCAGGGCGTTGGCTTGTTCTCCTTATTTTCTCCAAGGGGTCATGAGCACGCTCTACCCAGACAGCCTGCTGTCTTCTTCCTGTCTACAGCGTGAAGGGGGCCAACCCCAGCAGAGCCCCTGGACTGGGAGGACTTGGAGGGTGGACTTGGAGATGCGGCCCACTCTCTAGAGAGGAATCACTTGCTACGCTGTCCCTGTGCAGGGAGATGAGCGCAGCGTGCTAGAAACGCCGCGAGGTCAAGGCCAAGGTGAAGATAGACCCCTCTTCAGTAGGAAGCTCCAACACACCTCCTCTCAGCTGGCAGAGTCCACCCAGGCCTTCAGGTCATGACCTCCTTTTGGAATGGACCCAGGTGAATGATGAAATGGGGGGCAAATGTGAGAAGAAGAAAGTAGCAACTAGATTTTCTTTTTAAAAAAAAAAATAGTAGAGCATCAGTAACGTCAAGTCATCAACTGTTAATTGGCAAAACTGAAAACATTTAAAACTCGCCTGACACTTGTGTATCTTTAATCTACCATTTACAGCCACTGCTGTTTACGTCCACTGGTTTTCACGTTTGTGTTACTTTTAAAATTTTCAATATACTCCTAATTGTCCTAATTATTCTCCTGCCCCAAGCTGAAATACCAAAAGCACAAATTTAAAAATATAAATGTGTGTGAAGAAAAACAGCTCAAGGGGTTCCCTTGAAAATGGCCAGTAATACCAGGAATCTAAACAGTCACCAGGAGACTGCAATTTTTATAGATTTTTTTCTTGATTAATAACTTAAGAAAATAAATTTTAAAGCTTATAATCTGTGAGAGGGTGGTCTTAGAGTTTTAGAGATTAAAGCTATAAAAAAAATCTGATTTGGCTAAGACCTATTAGCATTTTCAAGTTATGTACTTGTTGATTTTGTTCCTTATCATTCAAAGATTCAGAGACACACGTGGTGGGAATGTAAGTGGCACTGCTTGGGTGAGGAGGAATTTGAGGAAAACCATCAGGGGGGTGCAGAGTGTCCGTGGCCTGGGTGAGCAGGGCTCTGCGGCTCCCACCACTCTGCCCAGGGGGTGGAAATGGTCCCTATGGGGAGGTGGCATTGTCACCTACCACTCCTCCTTTTCAACTCAAGCCCTGGCCGATTGGCTGATAGAATATGTTTTAGTGGTGTTTCAAGCTTGGGTTAATTTTGATGTGTTAGACTCAGCAAACCTGATTGCAATTGGCCAGGCCCCAGCCCCACAGTGTGGGCAGACAGCTTTTGTTTCCTGCTCCTTGTGGGGAAGGAGTTCTTGTACAATGCAAAAACAAAGAATTACTAGAAATATTTGAGACATAAGTTGTATAGAACCAGCTTTCTTATTAAATTCAAAAGAAAAAATTACCAGTCAGATGTTACGAAGGTTTCCAAACCCAGCCCTCCGCTCTGCTGTCCCCTCTGTGTGGACGGAACCAGGTGTTTGCAGGTTGCCCCCAGTCCCAGACGCTGTTCTGGAGGCTGGCTGCACTTCTGCCAAGGCAGCAGCTAGACACTTTTCTGTACTCAGGACCATGAGCAGGAGACCCTCATCCTGGCTTTAATTTGGAAGGCTAAATTGCTGGAAGAGAAAACCAAAAATGAACAGAAACAGAAGGGGACAGCATTCTCGTTTAAATGCAAGGCAAGAGAGGCCCCATCCTAAACTGGTTTTCCTAGGACTGCAGGGAGATGTCGTAGACAAGGACCCTGCCAGGGAGACACAGGCTCCGTCAGAGGCGAGGGCAGGCAGGAGGCGAGCCTCTGTGTCCCAAGTGGCCCTGCTGTTGCCTGCTGGTACTACAGAGCCCTGGGGTCAGACTGGAAAGGCCCCCAAGCCAGGAGCCTGGCTCTGTCAATGCTGGGCTC